GCTGCTGGTGTTCTGCATTAACCCTTCTTCCCAGAACAAGTATGATTCAAAGCAGCAGGGTTATGAATAGGATGGAAGGATGCACTACAGAATATAAAAGAATGGTCATGTTCTCTTCTCATGAGGTTAAATAAATGAACAGAATTAGAGAAAAAACAAAATGAAGTCTGCAAGTATATCAAAATGCCAAACAGATAGAAGACTTAGACATACTCTTGGAAATTTCAAGCACTTGGATCACAGCGATAGTAATGGATGGGCATGGTTTTTTAAAAATTTTGTTTGTTTGTCATCTCCTTTAAAAATTGCCAGACCCAAAAATAAAAAACAGAACATATACAAGCAGAAAGTAAAATAGAGCAATACTACATAAAAAGAAAACACACACTAATTAAAACCCCTTTTCTTAATTGTAGAATTTTTGTGTGGTTTGGGGGAATTAAATCAAACTGAACTGGCTGGATTACTTATTATCTAAATTATGCTTTACAATATACAAAATTATTCCATGATTTTGGTCACTTTTAGGTTGAATCCTGTCCAATATAGCCACTTTAAGCCATTGCTCCCACCCACAGTTTAACTGAATGAAGACACATTTAGCTACTTATAACATTTTAAAATTAGCTAAGAACCAGTCCTATAGAGAATTTTCATCTTCTAAAACAATTAGAAAAAATATCTGAAGTTTCCTTTCAAATATAATAATGGTACAAGTAAGATATTATAATAGGATTTTACTTGTAACCAACAGGGTCAAGGGTCCACCTGACATTTAGCGTATACAGAACTATGATTGCAGCTTTTTTCCTTCTCTTATAAAGTCTACCCAGAAATATCTCCCTCCTGAAGCTTATTGTGTGCAGTTTTCCCTTTCTGTGGAAGTTATTTCAATTCACTGAGTTCTAAAAAGAAGATTCTCATCATTTGTACATTATTACTCTGACTGGTTTTTAATTTCCACAAGTTTTGACTGCTTGAAATTTCTTTTAAATTTTTAGTTCTCAAAATCGTAAGACTCATAGAATTGCAGAGTTGGAAGGGACCTCAAGGGTCATCTAGTCCAACCCCCTGCAATGCAGGAATCATAGAATATCTCTATGTAAATTAAAAAAGTACAAATTAGTTGCACTATGTTTGCAATATGTACCATTACAGCTCAGTTCAACTGGTAGTGGGGTTATTTATTTAATTCATGCATCCATCCACAATACAGCGTGGGGTTGATTTCTGTTTCCTGAATCTCAGCTACCTTTTAAAAACACACACTTCTAAGATTCATTTTTGGAATTAGCTTGAAAATACACAAGCAGCTAATCTTGAAAGCTTCATCTGGTAGCATTTCATCTCTAGCACTATTTCCTCACAAGTTAAAAAGGAAAATTCCTTCCCTGGAGCATCACACTTACTTAAGAAGAACATTCTGACCATGGACTGTGGCTTACCCACTTCCTTCCTGCTGCAGCCCCCTAAAAGTCATTCCCAAGGGTCAGACAACCCTCTAGGATAGTTCTCAATGCCACATGATGGCAGAAATCCAAGTCGCCATCTGCAAGTGTGAGCAGAAGCTCCACTAAATTCAAACCCTACCCTTGGGATTATCCATGCTTCCACACCAATAGAGTTTATTCTGCAAAAACTTAAAATATTCAATTTGTACTACTGCATGTGTAATTGGGGATCAATAGTCCTTGCAAACTTTTTTTAAGCAATTGGAAGTGGTTTATGAGATGATGTGCTGCTACTCTGTCTCCTTTCCATAGTATGAAGTCCTTGTGGCATTCTCCATGTTTAAGTGTTACATCACCAGTGATGTTAATTATAACTGAGGATAGCCAGGGTTCCTCTTTATCCAGAATTTTAAATCTGCCCGGAACCTTAGTTTCAGATTCTCATTCAGCGGAAAGCCTAAACAGCCTTACTTAATAGCTGACCTAAGAGTTATGTTATGGTTAGGCCAGATGGTAAAACCCATGCTCCAGAAGGAACAAATGGGAGCAGAGAAGAGGAAACACACAACCCTGATTTCTGCTTCTGATTGCGTAAGCAATTAGAAGCATTACGTTTGCACTAGCACAATCAGATTGCTTTGTAATGTGAGCATACAAATAATAAAGCTACATTAAGAAAAAATTATAAATTCTAAAGTTGAACACTAATGAAAGGGGAAAGTAAAAATAAAAATATATGAAGTCAATGACAATCTAGTAAATACACTACAGGCAATAAAAGATGAGGGAAACTAGCACAAAAAGTAGGCTACAAAGACTAATATGGGTTTATCAACACATAATTTTTGAGTCTGGCCTAATTTAGTTATTGCCTTTGACATCATTTTGCTTTCCCTTTATTTTATAGAAGCACATTTTTTTTCTGAAAATTGGCAATACCTGGATCTACCTGTCCTGTCTGGGAGACTGAAAGATAAAGGTCTGTAAAGAGAAGAATGGAAAGAACTAGAAAAGATCAGGTGGTTTGGAAAAAATGAGGAGTGACTTAAACGACCAAATTTACACCCAGCTGAACACTGCAAGTACACCACAAGTATCCCAGTTTTTATATAGGACACCTTCCATGTCACTGATAGTGCCTGACAAATCCTTATCCTAAACTCTCTTACCAAAGCCTTCAATGAAGTCTTACTAACTTTTGGAGTGAATGGCACGACTTCTGCTTCTGAGAGCAGGTATCAGAAACTAACAGCTAACATTGTTTATAGCTTGCAAAGAGAGAAGCAGAAGGTGCTGTTGTTCCGTATCCTGCCCTACAAATTCAGCTGACAAACATTATCATGTTTTTAAAAATCATTGATTTCCGAGGCAATAATGCACCCATTTACTCTGGAACAGCCTTATTCACTTGTAACAAAACCATCCGGGGGAAAATGGGCTGTGCAGTGGAGGCTAAACTCTCTAAAAGCTGAACAAACTTGACATTGCTTTGGATTGTCTTCCAAGTTCTGTGCTAGGAAGATTAAATCTACAGCTTCCGGAACCAATTCTGTTTACTTTTGGAAAATGAGCTTTGTACACCAATTGAGATAAACAAATAGGTGAACTAATGACTTGGATCCAAAGAGCCACATGCAGTGCTCTGAGCACACGCTAGGGCTTTCCTTTCCGGCTATTCCCACTGCAACTCACGCTTCCTAAAAATGCACCTGAGGGTCAGAGGACATGGGGTGCTGGAGCTGAGAGGAATCAGACACACTCAGACACACACACACACACACACACACACACACACACCCTGCACACAAGCAGAAGGGGCACTTTGGATCAAAGCGAGTATTTTGGATTAGTTGAAGTAGGAGTTGATATGTTAACAGGCAGATCTTCAAAAGAATATACCAGGTAGCTTAAAAAGGACCAATTAGTCTCTCCAGAGATTACGTTGCCTTTTTTAATCCACTCTTTTAATTGGTGTTGTAACAAGAAGTGGTTCTAAGTGAAGATAAAGCCACTATGATCTAATTACTTTTCCATTATTTACCTGTCAAGTTTTATACAGAAAATAGAAGCTGAGTAGATGAAACAATGGAAATTGAAGTTAAACTTGTCCACTTCACTTAAGTGGCCTGCTTCGAGAGAATTAATTATTTGACAGTCCAAGTTACAGATCAATAATTTAAACCTCGGCTTTTGTTTTAAACTGTGCTTCAAAAAAGGATAAACAACTTATTTAGGCAAGTTCTCTTGAACCATCTGTAGAAACTCAGTTCTGAATAATTTAAAGTCAGATTCTAGTTTTCACTGTTTAGATCTTTGCTGATATTCTTGCACTAGCATAGTGCCATGCATTGTTTCATGACCTACCAAATTTCTGTGCTTCTCAGCCAATGCTCTATTGCTCGTGTTAAATGTACGTAAGATGGGCAAAGGGACGGAGAATGTCCAACCAAATTGCAAAAGCTATGTGAAAGGTCAATACAAACTGCTAGGAAACTCACCTCTCAATTTTATGAGCAAACTAGTTGCAAAATGAGTTTCATTTGTAGGTAACACAAGGAAGGATAATGTGTGCCGTACCTGTTTATATACAAAAGACTAAGAATTGAAACTAGATGAGACATTAAATGCATGACTGAAGCTATTTCCCCTGGAAAGGAAAGGGATTTGCCCTCATAGCAACTTTCCTCCTCCAGTAGTGGGGGAGTGGGGAGGAACGGCATGGGGAAAGCATTAAAGCGATGCTCTCCAGGACTGATTTTAAAAAATAATAATTAAAAAAGACTGAAATGCAGTCATTTAGCTTGACTATAAGAATTCCTGATTTTCCCCCCCTGTTTATGCCTTTTATATTCCCAGATCATTATTTGTGGGAAAGGCAAGGTACCATATCAATTTCTAGGTGCCCATTGGTTTAACACTCTGGTTGTGTAACTCCAGACATACTGGCTTACATTGTTGGGAAGGAAAAGAAATCGTTCCTAGGATGAAGTGGCGCTAGATGTCAAATTCACCAAGTTCTATAGTGTGGAACTAGATAGCACTTCAGAATCTAGGATTAGCCATGCTAATCTGTTTCTTGCTCTAGCTTCTTTGGCCACTTTGGCCACAGTGACCCTCCAGATGTTACTGAACTGGCACCAGCTCATGGTCAGAGATCATGGAAGATGCAGTTCAGTTGCATCTGGAGGGTTGCAGGTTAGCAATCTCTAGCATCTCATTTTATTAACAGGTTTCATTTCTGTTTAACATGCACACACCCTGCAATAGGGTGTTCTAAAAAATCAACACAAAATTAAGCCTTGACTGAAGGAAGCTCAGAAATGTTTCGATACACAGATGCCAATGGCAGATGGGAGTTCAGTAGAAGGAAAAGGGGATGTTCAGCTATTTCAGCAATCAACAAAGGCTTCAACATGCTACATACTAAATGCTTCTTTGTAACAGTACATGTAGCTAAGTATAAGGCAATACTAAACAATACACGACAGTTTCAAATCATGCAGGTTGTGTGACCATGCTCCAATTGGCTTCAATTCTTTCCATTCTTACCTCAGACTTTTCCAATTTATTTTGAGCATCAATTTGGGTGACAATTTCATTCATATTGGTCTCCAAAACCATTCCGCCCATCACCATTTCAGCCAAAATATTATGGACCTAAAAAATAAATAAATGACAAAAGAAACAAAGGCAAGCAAATTAATTAAATATTATTGTGGAGAGGCTGGTGAAATGTGGACTGGACGAGGAGACTATTAGGCAGATTTGTAGCCGACTGTCTGACCGAACCCAAAAAGTGCTCACTAATGGTTCCTCGTCATCCTGGAAAAAAGTAGCACATGGGTTACCATGGGGTTCTATCCTGGGCCGTTGTTGTTCAATGTCTTTATAAACAATTAGGACAAAGAAACTGAGGTGATGCTAATCAAATTTGCAGGTGACACCAAACTGGGAGGGGTAAGCATTGCCACTGATGACAGAACTGGGTTTCAGGATGACCTTGATAAGATTGGAGAACTGGGCCCAACCTAACAAAACAAATTTCAACAGGGACAAATATACGGTTCTGCACTTAGGCAAGAAGAACCAGCTTCACAAATAGAAGAAGGATATTGACAAGCTGGAACATGTGCAGAGAAGGGAACTAAAACGATAAAGGGTCTGGAAACCAAACTTTATGAGGAACAGTTGAGGTAAGGGAGTATGTTTCACGTAGTAAAGAGAAGACTAAGAGGAGATATGATAGCCATCTTCAAACATCTAAAGGACTATCACATGGAGGGTGGAGCAAGCTTGTTTTCTCCTGCTCTGGAAGGTAGGACTCGAACCAATGGATTAAAGTTACAAGAAAGGAGATTCTGACTCAACATCAGGAAGAACTTTCTGGCAGTAAGAGCTGTTCGACAGTGGAACAGACTCCCAAGAGAGGTGGTGGACTCTCCTTCCTTGGTGGTTTTTAAGCAGAGGTTGGATGGCCATCTGTCATGCATTATCTAGTTGAGATTCCTGCATTGCAGGGGTTAGGCTCTTAAATTCCTTTCTTCTTTGTAAAATTAGTAACAGCAAACATTTAAGTTAGAGCTGTAACACTGGTTGCTCATAAGATGCAGCTAAAATATTATGGTAAAGGTAAAGGGACCCCTGACCATTAGGTCCAGTCGTGGCCGACTCTGGGGTTGCGGCGCTCATCTCACTTTATTGGCCGAGGGAGCCGGCGTACAGCTTCCGGGTCATGTGGCCAGCATGACTAAGCCGCTTCTGGTGAACCAGAGCAGCACACAGAAACGCCATTTACCTTCCCGCCAGAGCGGTACCTATTTATCTACTTGCACTTTGATGTGCTTTCGAACTGCTAGGTTGGCAGGAGCAGGGACTGAGCAACGGGAGCTCACCCCGTCGCGGGGATTCGAACCACCAACCATCTGATCGGCAAGTCCTAGGCTCTGTGGTTTAACCCACAGAGCCACCCGTGTCCTAAAATATTATGGACTTAATGCTAAAGACCCGTAGAAAACATGTGATTGCCAAATCATCCAACACAAAACTGCACACCTCCTTTATGAGGCCCTTCAAATAAATATTGTTCACAAGTGTTGCATAAAGATTACATATTGATGCCTATATATCCTATGTTTACCAGCTTTCCATACTGGATATTTCTTCCTCATCTATAAAAGCTTTCACATTTGATAAAAACAAAACAAAAACAAAAAAAAGCTTTCACATTTGCAGAACACTGTCAGCACATGTTTTTAACTCGTAACACAATGTAAAGTAGAACTGATTTTTTAAAAAATAAAATACTATCTTCCAGTTCAGGGAGCTGCCGCATTGAAAATTTTCCAGTAAAATGAGACACGGGGTCTCACACTTGTATAGTACAAAAATATTTGAAACTAAATAATTAAAATCAAGAACCTTCAGGTGCTTTGGCTACAGGCTAACATACATTGCATGCAGCTGAATAATTTTTTGCAGTTACCAATATTTCAGGTATTGTATCTTCTTCAAGCATTACTGTGCAATATATGCAACTACTCTGGCATTTCATATGCAGTATAGGCAACTCCCCATTTGCACGCAAGCGGCCCGTGCGTGACACTTGATACGCACACCATTTTCGACACCACAAGGGGGCGGGGCGGGACTCAATCCCCGCATAAATGGGGAGCTGCCTGTATATAAGTTACACAGAACATTCCAGGACAATGATTTCCAGTGAGGGCTCTGTGCGCTGAAGTTGCGCAAATCAGGGTAAGTGCACTTAGTTTACATGATTTATCCCAATAGCTGTTTTTCTGCCTATTTCAAAATACCTTGGCAAGGAACAGATCTGCAGAAATAAACAAAAGAGGGAAGGCATAAGCCATGGGGGAATAAGACTTAGCCTAGGAAGCAAAGAAATATTAGATTGCTCAGAAATCACATCACTGAAAACATTTCGGCTTCAGGGTGGAAGAGTGTTTTTAAAAATGTTCTTAAAAATTGGAAGGCCAAATTTTTTCATCCTCCTTCAAACCCAGATGTAGAGACAAATTAGCAATCGTTAGTAAGGAGGAATATTTCCCATAGGAAAAAGGTGGGGGGAGCTTGCTAGTCTTCATAAACAGACATTTACTGTTCTAGTCCACATCTAATTTCTTGGAAGAAGTAACAATAGCCTCAGAGGAACTATAAGAGGTGTCAAACAGTGAAGCCGGAGGGTGGGGAAAAGTTCCCTATACAAGGGAGCAAGTTCAGTTCAGGCGCTCAGGAAAGTTGTTTTCTAGTATCTTTAACCACCTGCCTTTCCGCTGCAAGTTATTATAAACTTGGCAGTGCAGATAGAAGTCATGCTCATGTGGAAGAAATCTTGACAATCATTAAAAGCAATTTTATGTTCTTTACAGAAACTTCTGGCCTGTTGTTTCTTTCCCTAATGGAAGAATTAAGCAGCTTATTCCCTCCACTGCCTCGTTCTCTCAACAAGCATCAAGCTGCTGTACAACTTGGGGGGGGGGGAGTGGGGCAAGTACTTTTAAGTTTTCAACCCACACAATTTTCTTATAATTGTTTTTTGTTTTTACTGCCTAAGCTGTATGTTCTTCTCTGCATGGAAAATTATCTTCCCATCGACAATACACTAGCCTGAGTCATGCTTTTCTGCAGCTAGCTACCAGATAGGAAAACGTCAAAAGCAACTTACAATTCTGAATTAAGACTATATGCCAAGGGAATCAAGGGGTTTTCTGTATACCACCAGTTTTTTCTTTATAGCACAATTGTATGCATTGTTAAGTCTCAGGAGTTAAGTCTGCAGTATTCAAGGCAAGGAAACCATGTGTAGGATAGCAGATCAGTAAAATGGAGGTCAGGAGGTTTGACTTGACAAAAGCAATACTGCAATTATGTTTTCGAAAATACATGTGAATTTTACTATTCATTTCTCAGGGCATATTTATTCAGTTAAAAAGTGACTAGCTAATATAAAATGACATTTGAACAAGGAAAGGGACTGTTTACCATTCTGACAGATACAAGAATGTGATTTTCAGGTCAACAGAATACTTTGAATTCATGTTACAGCAGCTCACCACACTACCTTATCCACATGGAAAATTAAATCCAGTTCACAGACATTCTCAAAGCACTTGTCTAGCGTTTCTACGAATACCTGTGGGGAGAAAATTTGCAAGGGGTCAAAGTTTTATAGCAACTCCATCATTCCATTATGGACAAACTGTAAATGTGGCAATCAGAACACAGAAGACCATCAAGAATTATGGAAGTTTAATGTATCTGTATAACATGTGGGGTTAACACAGCAGACTCTCTTGGCAGATCCCAAGTACATTATTGAAGATCAAACTTCACTAATGTGACAGCTTGACATTCCTGTTCCTTAGTGAAACATAGCACGCTTCAAACAAAATTCACACTTTATTATTTTAAATACTTCACACTGTGTCTGTTACTATGGTCTGAAAGCTTTACTATCAAATTTTTGTGGCACAGTTTATACAGACATGCTGAAATGCTTAACCTGACGACGACAACAACAACAAAACAGATTTGAGAGTGGACTAACCAATTTAACATTTAGTCTCATCTGCCCAAAGAGACAGGCCTTGCCTGAACATCGCATTAAAATTTCTAGACAGTTGCTTTATTATCTGCTAAAGCTAGAGCCATTTGCCGTATACAAGCAGCACCCTCATACTGCTTCTATTTAGGAGCTACGATGTTCTGCCACAAACACGCAGTAATGCACGCAGATTAATCCATTTAAAAGGAGACAGAAACTTACTTTATTTAATTCATGACTAAGTAAGGCTATTACTAAAAGCAGCATTTATACTGACTATATACAACCAAAACATATAAAAATGTTCTGGGAAAGAGCAACAGAGTTCATTAAAGCTAGACATTTCCCTCAACTGGACTCCCAAACATAAGGGAACAATTTTAGGTAGAAAATATTTCCCCCTGAAATCACTAAATGTCTCCTAGTGGACCAGGGTAGCACCTATCAAAATGATTTTCTTCCTGCTTTCAAATACAGTGGTGCCTCGCAAGACGAAATTAATTCGTTCCGCAAGTCTCTTCGTCTTGCGGTTTTTTCGTCTTGCGATGCACGGTTTCCCATAGGAATGCATTGAAAATCAATTAATGCGTTCCTAGGGAAACCGCCTTCAGACCAGGTCCGGGGACAGACTGTCCCCGGACCTCTTCTGAAGGCTGGGGGGGGGGGGACAAGGGCTTTTCTTCCCACCCCCAGCATTTAAAAAAACCCTGGGACAGCGGAGGACTTCTCCGCTGTCCGGGTGATCTTAAAATGCTGGCGGGCGGCATTTTAAAATCGCCCCGGGACAGCGGAGGACTTCTCCGCTGTCCGGGGCGATTTAAAAGCCCCTGGGAAGGCAGGCAGGGGGGACAAAGACTTTCGCCCCCCGCCCGCCTTCAGAAGGTGTTCCCGCCCCCCCCCCGCCCGGCTTCGCAGCAGCGCTACGAAGCCCGGCGGCTGGGGTAGGTGTTCCCGCCCCCCACCCGGCTTCGCAGCAGCGCTACGAAGCCCGGTGGCTGGGGCAAGTGTTCCCGCCCCCCCACCCCGCTTCGGAGCAGCGTTCCGAAGCGGGGTGGCTGGGGCAGGTGTTCCCGCCCCCCGCCCGGCTTCGCAGCAGCGCTATGAAGCCCGGTGGCTGGGGCAAGTGTTCCCGCCCCCCACCCCGCTTCGGAGCAGCGTTCCGAAGCGGGGTGGCTGGGGCAGGTGTTCCCGCCCCCCCCGCCCGGCTTCGCAGAAGCGCTACGAAGCCCGGTGGCTGGGGCAAGTGTTCCCGCCCCCCCACCCCGCTTCGGAGCAGCGTTCCGAAGCGGGGTGGCTGGGGCAGGTGTTCCCGCCCGGCTTCGCAGCAGCGCTACGAAGCCCGGCGGCTGGGGCAGGTGTTCCCGCCCCCCCACCCCGCTTCGGAGCACCGGGAGAAGCGATCTCCCCGCAGCCCCTTGCTTCAAAAGAGGTCTGGGGGCAGACCTCTTTTGAAGCAAGGGGCGGTGGGGAGAAGCGATCTCCCCGCCGCCCCTTGCTTCAAAAGAGAAGACCCGCTGTCCCCGGGGCAAGCTTCGTTTTGCGAAGCAAGCCCATAGGGAAATTCGTCTTGCGAGGCAACTCGAAAACGAAAAAACCTTTCGTTTTGCGAGTTTTTCGTCTCGCGAGGCGTTCGTCTTGCGGGGTACCACTGTATTGCCATTTAAAATTTTGCCAGAATGTTTTAATAGTAAAAAATACAAACCTTCCGTACAAGGGGAAAGCGGTGAGGGGGGGAAAATGCATTATATATGCACCAAAAAGAGGAAGTTGGGGTTACCAAGCTTCAAGGTATATTACAACCAGGGCTTTCTTGCAGCCAGAACTCGCCAGAACTCAGTTCCGGCACCTCTCAAGTGAGTGCCATTGCTATTATAAGAAAACAATGGAGGTGTTTATGGTGAGTTCTGGCACCTCTGTTTCTAGAAAAATAGCACTGATTACATAGCTTTCAATTAAAACAATCTAGATAAATAGAAATGATCATATGATCCCCTAGAGTTCAATGGAACTTTACTTCATTCTCTATTGCTATAAACTCTTTTATTCCTATCAGTTAAACCATCTGCACTGACAGGTTGCATGAACCATTTTTAGGAGCTACACTGTAGACCTGGAAGTAATGGGTTAAGGTTTTAGTTTTTCCCATCAACAACACTGCTCTTGCTTCCTTTCCTAGTTTACCCCCAGCTTTCAGCCTCACCAAATATAAGCATTTTGAAGCATGATGGGAGCAGGGATATATGGCATGACAGATTAAGCCCATCCTGAGGATTATCCTAGAATGCATCTCACATATGAAAAGTCCTAGACTTTCCTTTCTAAGTAAGCACAATAGGTTACCCAGTACAGATGTATACAGATTTTTCCTGAGAGACACCCATAAATTTTTTTATAAAGTGAACAAATTTCTGAACTCAAGATTACTGAATAGATTCTCTTTGCCAACAAAATATTAAAATTATTAAAAACATGTTTGTACAAGGTTACATAGCATCATAACATGAGCAGACTGGGGGTTTTTTTGGGGGGGAGGGTTGTTGGGCAAGGTTGCTGCTGTTCTTTTTGTATCTTTATTTTAGATTTCGTTGTGATTTATGTGAAGATTATTCAATTTGGTTTTGTATTTTTAAATGTTTTATTTATTGTTTATGACTACTTTTGTTATGTTATAGTTATTCTTATTAAATTTCTATACTGACCTTCATCCAAAGATCACAGGGTGGTTTACAATGTCAGAACACACAAAATACATACCATAATGACCAAAAAAATCCCTAACATCCTGCCCCAAACACACAGTTTAAAAGATTGTTTAGTAAGTCCAAGACCTGGGAATGTTTTTGCTTGGTACCTAAAGATATGTAATGAAGGCGCCAGGCAAGCCTCCCTAGGTATGTATTACAACCAAAATTTCCAGAGTCATTTCAAACTTGGACAATGAGTGCCACGCTACAGCTAGCCTTTCGTTTTGCTGTGGTAGGACACCCTCTTGTGGAACAAAATGGAATGAGCCCTTCCTTTAACTACTGTATTTTTCGCTCTATAAGACGCACCAGACCACAAGACGCACCTAGTTTTTGGAGGAGGAAAAGGAGAAGAAAAAAATTCTGAATATCAGAAACCAGAACAGCAAGAGGGATCGCTGCGCAGTGAAAGCAGCAATCCCTCTTGCTGCTCTGGCTTCTGGGATAGCTGCGCAGCCTGCATTCGCTCCATAAGATGCACACACATTCCCCCTTACTTTTTAGGAGGGCAAAAGTGAGTCTTATAGAGCAAAAAATATGGTAATTAAAATTAAGCATTAAAAGTGGCATTTTAGCCTGATAACAGCTCTGCAGGCTGAAAACAGGCTTGCAAACAGTGAGCAATATAGCATTTAATTGTTTTCCATGTCCTACCACTGTAGCCACATCACCAGAATGGTCCTGACTCAGATTGTATTTATCAAAACCCACGTAGCCCTGTTAAACAGTCACATCCTGAACTGCTGACTTCTTATATATCTAACACATTTCTAAAGAATAAGCATGCAGCACAATTCTATATATGTTTATTCAGAAGTACATTCCACTAAGCTCAGTAGGTCTTACTCCCAAGCATGCACACAGTTGCCTTAGGAATAGGTTTGAGAAGTTACAAAAACACACACCACTTGATTACCACAGATTACATATGTACACAAAATGAAAAGCAAGAGAAACACTTTCAGAAATGATTATTTTTGCATATCATGAAAACCTAGTGCCTCATTTCCAGGGGAAATATATTTTATTTTCCAAGCTGTTGTTACATGCAGGCAATATTTTGTTCTAAGAGTGGTTCTCCAGAGCCAATCCAATCCAAGTGAGCTTCTGTTCAAAGTAAGAAACTTAGCTCCCAATCAGCTTCCTAGCACCAATACTGGAAGCAAAACATACAATAGTGTGGCCACTGTTAATAATTTCCTCCCCATACAAGTATTAATACTTAGTATTGAGAAATATTGTCAGTATTATTATATAGAGGTATGTCAAGCCTTACAGGCAAGCAAATACACAGGTCAGTTTAGACAATAGTTCACCCAAAATAATTTTAGCGGAGTAAACACTTATCTCATTACCTTACATCTAATGATGGACATTGTAGATTTATTTCTTTATTAGTAGATAAAATAAAGAAAAACAACAGGACAAAAACATACAAAATCCTCTATAAACTACTTACTTGTATTAAATCTAAAATGCCAAGTTCACTTTCTGAAGAATCAACACAGAAGACAAAGTACAATGTGGCATAATGTCGGTATATCAATTTGTTGTCAGATCCACCTATTAATCTAAAACAAAACAAGATCAACATCAACAATTAACTGCAACATTCCAAAGTTGCATTTGTTAGCAGCTACAACATTTTTTAAAATAGCAGGTAAAATTGGGGACCTCTCCCCCTAGTGGTGCAGCAATAAAACTGCTAGCACATTGCAAAGCTTAACCAGGGTCCAGTATGGTCCCAAATTTGATAGGGAACTGTGTCGAGACTGTGTGTGTTCTGCAGGGGGTTGGACTAGATGACCCTTGAGATGTGTGTGTTCTGCAGGGGGTTGGACTAGATGACCCTTGAGATCCCTTCCAATTCTATGATACCTGCAAGACTGCCTTACTCCATATATGGCCACTCAGCCACTTCAATCTGGACAACTAGCACTGTTACAAATGCCAAATAACACTCATTCTGCACTTTTAAGAAATCTGTATTTTAGTGTGGCAGCACCCACACTTTGGAACTCTCTGCCTGTTGACGTGGGGCAAGCATTTTCCCTGTAGCCTTTTCAACACCTGCTACAAACATTTTACTTTAGGCAAGCCTACCCAGACATGCATCCATGTCATGTGTTTTAATCTGGTTTTAGCTTGCTGTTGAGTTTAATTATTTTTTGCATGTTTTGAATATTTGTTCTTGATTTCTTTTACTGATAATTGTATTGGGTATTTTGGTAAACCACTCTGATGGTTTTATTACAATCAAACAGTATATACCTGTTGTCAAATAAATAAAACATATTAAAGTCAAAGCCATTTAAATCAGTAGGCAGTGACTCCTCATAATAAAGACTCTATCATATAAAATGTACAGTGGTGCCTCGCAAGACAAAAAGAATCCGTTCCGCAATTCTCTTCGTCTAGCGGTTTTTTCGTCTTGCGAAGCAAGCCCATTGACAGCTTAGTGGATTAGCGCTACAGCGGTCTAGCGGCTTTTCGCGATCAGCTGTTAAGCGGGTTATCAGTGGAACAGCTGATAGGCGGCTTAGCGGCTTAGGAAAAGGGGGGGGCGGAAAAAACCTGCGGGGACGCGCAAGATTTTTCCGTCTTGCGAAGCAACCCCATAGGGAAATTCGTTTTGCGAAGCGCCTCCAAAACGGAAAACCCTTTCGTCTAGCGGGTTTTCCATCTTGCGAGGCGTTCGTCTTGCGGGGCACCACTGTACAAACAGGAAATGTCATGGGTTTTGATGTTGGACTTGTACAAAATCAAAATAATGTTGATGTGCCAAGTCTTCAAAGTGGGACACTTTTCACCACCTTCATATTTCATTTTAACAACTGTGAATGCAATTCAGGATACTTACAAGCCGCCTTCTAGGAAATTACAGACATTTTCATCACGTTTTGAGACTAAATGAAATGTTTCTCTGATAATTTGTTGCTGTGTATCTTCACTCTGGGGAGGAAAAGAGACTAGGGTAGTAAAACAATCTATATTTCTAAATACAGTTGGATAACATAAGCACTGCTCCATCCCTATCCAGTGTATTTTCACTAAGTAACAATTTTGGTGCAACATTTTAGGAGGGATATATAATGAACACACACACACGCAAACACGCCCTTGGTACTGTTCCATACCGCACATTGTTTCAGAAATAGACAAATATCAACATACAGAAATATCTCCCTCTAGTGCAAGAGGAAAAAAAGTTATTATTCTGAATGGGTAATACAGAAATGCTGAAACTTCAGGGGGGGAATCCAAATAGCATCTCAGATTTTGCTTTGGGACAAGAGTAGCATTTAAACTAAATTATTTATTACACACAAACTGATCCAATTCCAGTAAATCACTACATTAAAACTTTAGACTAGTATATTTTGCACAGCCACATTTTTTCCATTCTAATCATTATCAGAATTTGTGGCACCTTATGAACTGACTAATTTATTATGACATCAACTTTCAATAAATTTGTTTGTCTAAGGTGCCACAAAACTCTTAAGATTGTTGTCACTGCAAAACGCTACCACAGCTATCCCTCTAGTTTAACTCTCAAAGATGAGTGACTACCTAAACAGATATTCATCCTCTGAAGCATAGTCAAATCATCATGTCAAGCAAGATGCTGTGCACAAAGACAGACACAAACATCAGATTTGTACCTAGCCCCTTAAACTTTCACAAGGTGCATTTAAAAATCCTTCTTGGCAAGTTTTTGCACTTACTTCACCTAAGCTGTTTTTTGCACTTACTTCACCTAAGCTGTTCTGCAACTCTACCACATTATAATATTTCTATATTAGCACAACACAAGAAACAAGCTTTGCTTATGCTAATACATACCGTATTTTTCGTCCCATAGGATGCACCTAGTTTTTTGGGGGGGAAATAAAGGAACAATTTTTTTCCTTTATTTCCCCCCCAAAAGCAGGTCGGGGAAACCGAACCAGGTCGAGGAACAGCGGGATGGCGGCGCTGCGCCTCCCTGCTGTCCCCCGAGCTTGTGGGGCTGGCCGATGTCTGCCCGGCCGATGTCTGCCACCGGGCGGCAGGCTGCTATCCGCAGCGTGGGGAGCCCTGCGGGGAACTCCTGCAGGGCTCCCCACGCTGCAGATGTCTGTCCGGCGGGCGGGGTGCTCTACTAGAGGGCGCCCTGCCCGCTGGGTGGCAGGCTGCTATCCGCAGCGTGGGGAACCCTGCGGGGAACTCCTGCAGGGCTCCCCACGCTGCGGAAGTATGCCCGGCGCAAGGGGCGCTCTGGTTCAGGGCGCCCCGCCTGCCGGGCGGCAGGCTGCTACCCGCAGCCTAGACAGCCCTGCGGGACCTCCCGCAGGGCTGCCTAGGCTGTGGATGTGTTCCCGAAGCGCCGGGCGCTCTGCTTTCAGGGCGCCCGATGCTCCGGGAAGCAGGCTGCTATCCGCAGCCTAGACAGCCCTGCAGGACCTCCCGCAGGGCTGCCTAGGCTGCGGATGTCTTCCTGAAGCCTGGAGAGCTAGAGGGGTCGGTGCGCACCGACCCCTCTCGCTCTCCAAGCTTCAGCGAAAGCCTGCATTCGCCCCATAGGACGCACCCAGATTTCCCCTTCATTTTTGGAGGGGAAAAAGTGCGTCCTATAGGGCGAAAAATACGGTACCTTTTTGCAATATTTAAAAGTGACTAAAAAATAATAATAACTTTTGGAGTTACAAAGGATGGTGGCTCTGCAATTTTTATACAGCATAGTTCTCATTCTATCCTTCTCCCCTCTGACAATCACCAAGTAAAGGAACCAACTAAGAGTCACTTTGGGTTGACATGTAACAACTTTTCTACAAGTACACTTCTTTGTATTAAAAACCCCCGGGCAAATACATCATCATGAATAGCAAATGTACATGAGTTTCAATGTGCAAACATAGCACAAACAGAACGACCACAAGTACAAAATAGACTTAAGGATACTCAAAATTTTCTGATTGGAAATGGTAGCACCATGTTTCCTCTTGTCATATGGAAAGCAACCTTTAAAAGTGACATACCCTACACATTTCTGTCCTGCTAACAAACATCCAGTTTTTAGTACCTTTTCTCTGTGTGTGTATTTAATAGTGCCAAACACTACAAACTTGGAATTCTTAACCGTTCAGGATCAATACCAACCATAACCCCAAAGCCTGGCTGAGTATCACATGTCACTAATTAGAAGGAAGCATCAGCTAACAGGCAACATAAGAACTCTTCTGCATCAAACAATAATCACCTGCTTCTCATCTTACCCACTAAAATACCGTTAGAGCTGCCATCCTCCTACGCATCCCACTCAGCCCAATGTGCTGAAATACAGCAAAGCAACCTCCTGTGCCACCAACATTTATCTTTCTTCACCATTACTATTCAATCTTCCATTGTTGTTGTTGCTGTAGTTGGCATCTGTCTGTCTCAAGAGACAATGGAGTTCGCCTCCGGGGGCAAAGTCAAACCGCTGGGTAGCAGCACTGAAGTGATCTCCCAGGGGCACAAGCCTGGACAGTGTGTATGGAGGTTCTGGGTCACCCATATAACAAGACTCCCCTCTCTCGGCCTCGCTGATGTGGTCCAAAGGAAAGCAGAGCAATACAAAGGACTTGTGTTTGGCCTCTGGAGTGCGTGCACATCCATGGGCAACATCTTTGGAACATTCCTTGCCTCTTCAGTCCTGCAGTATGGCTACAAGGTGGATGAAGCTGCTTGCTGTTTCCCTTACATGAACTACGACTAGTCTTGATATGCAGAACTGAAAAGCATAGGTGGAGCTCATTTTAGGGGCAACACTGTCCCCAGTGTGGTGTAGTGGTTAAGAGCAGTAGACTCGTAATCTGGGGAACCGGGTTCGTGTCTCCACTCCTCCACATGCAGCTGCTGGGTGACCTTGGGCCAGTCACGCTTCTTTGAAGTCTCTCAGCCTCACTCACCTCACAGAGTGTTTGTTGTGGGGGAGGAAGGGAAAGGAGAATGTTAGCCGCTTTGATACTCCTTCGGGTAGTGATAAAGCGGGATATCAAATCCAAACTCCTCCTCCTCCTCCAAACTCCAGTGTCATCTAATATCTACATGAAACCACTGGTTGGGTTATTCATGATGGGCAGTTGCAACTCTGGTGATGGCAATGTCTGTTTTGCACAGGACATTAGGAGAGGGGTCAGGGTGAAACTAAGCTTTATTTCACCGGGGTCAAAGACCTATCTTGGCACTCCCATGCGCATTTGTGTACACACACAGGCTGGGAGCCTCAATGGCACCCCTCCGGAGACTTCACCAGGAGCAAAGAAAACCCAGCTAGCCCCCCTCCCCTCCATAGCTAAGGCACTGGGAGGGTTGTTACCTCTAGTGGGCGACACATCATGCTCTTATATCTCCATTAAAAAGAAGGCACGTGTCACAGACCTGGAGAGCCACTGCTGTCGGGGACAGCCACGAGCCAGATGACCCGGTGACCTAACTTCTCACAAGGCATGCTTGTGATGGTGGGTTATTACGAGCCAGTAATTCTTCAGCCCCTGGAGGCCAAAATACGGTTGGCAGGTGATGCAGACCAGCACAGGAGCTGACTCCTAAGGACTGAGGCCCCTTCGCTCCCTACCTCCCCCAATAATCCAAGTGGATGAGCATTGCCATTCCAATGGTGTGTGTGTGTGCCAGTCATTATCGGTTATATAAGGCAGGGCTTACCTGCTCAACCCCCACTTCCCCATTATGTTATTCAAGTTTCAAGCTGCAGCACTGCTTGAAAGGGCCAGTGCCAACACCAAGGGGGGGGGAGAAGAAATGCCAAGAAGGGAGTGAGAGAACCAGGGCCAGATTTAGGTTTGATGAGGCCCTAAGCTACTGAAGGTAATGGGGCCCTTTATATGTCCAGCTGCCTTTGTCAACAACAAATTGCCGCTGTTTTTTGTGTTGAATATATGCTATATGGTAGTTTATGGACCTAATGGGTATCTAAAGCCATTAGCACATAACAGAATATGTGTTTTATCAAAGTAATTGATATAGAAATGAGCAAACCAGTGATATTTTAGGGAGCAGGCTAGAAGGAGGGGCCCATTACTTACACCATAGGAGCCTACACAACACAAAACACTGCTGCTGTATGTAGGTCTTATTTTATTTGTTTTTTTATCTTATATTTTGGAAATGTACATCCAGGTTTTTCCTTTAAATTTTTTTTTGGGGGGGGCCCAAGAGAGTGGAGCCCTATAGCTTGCTTAGCTTATACGTAAATCCGGCACAGAGAACATGTGCAGAGTGAAGGAGCATCTTCAACCCCCATCGTTCTACCCGGACACTGAGGACCAGCACTGAGGGCCTTCTGGCGGTTCCCTCACTGCGAGAAGCAAACTTACAAGGAACCAGGCAGAGGGCCTTCTCGGTAGTGGCACCCGCCCTGTGGAACGCCCTCCCACCAGATGTCAAAGAGAACAACTACCAGACTTTTAGAAGACATCTGAAGGCAGCCCTGTTTAGGGAAGCTTTTAATGTTTGATGTATTACAGTATTTTAAACTTTTTTTGGAAGCCGCCCAGAGTAGTAGTAGTAGTAATAATAATAATAATATTTTCCCTGAAAGTAAGCCATAGGGGAAGAGAGGAATATTTGTATCGCTGGAGCGGAGGGCGCCTCCTGGGGGAAAAGAGCACCTGCCTCGCGGTGCCAAGGGAACCTACGGCGCCCCACCCCACTGGCAAGGAGCTCCCCCGCCACACAGCCACGCCACCGAGTCCGGCCCGCTCGCCCGCCCCTTCCCGGCGACCTCTCCTCGACCCCACTCACATAGCGCTGGTAGAACTTGGAGAGCCGCGGCTTGCCGTGGTTGTTGAATATCAGGATGGCTTTAATCATGGTGAGGGAGGAGCAGCTGCTGCTGAAGAGCCGAAAGAGAGAGGCGGGTGGGGGGGAGAGGCGGTCTGCGCCTCCCCCAGTCCGAGGCCCGCGACTCCGGCCCCCTAAAAACCCGCCTCTACCGAAAGACACCACAGGCGCTGGAACCGCTCCTCGCTCACGTGACGACGAGATTAGAAGGGGCGGGGGGGGGAACGGGGAAGAGAAACGGTCATCTGACTGACGCGAAATACAAGGACGGAAGCGCGCGAGGGACAAAACGGCGGCGGCGGCGGCGCGGTCACGTGCCCCCGGCAGGAGCCTATGAAAGCGAGCGCCGCTGGGGATGCTGCTTCCGCTGTTTCGCTACTATGTCGGAGCTGGGCGAGGAGCAGGAGCAGCCCGGTGCTGCTGCCGCCGCCGCCGCCGCTCCTTTCCCACCTCAGGAGGGCGGCCGGGGTGAAGGGGGCGAAGATGCCCCGGAGGGCGGGGCCGGGCCCACGTTGGGGGTGCTGGAGTCGGCTCCCGCTTCGGCCGTTTCCCCGGTGACCGAGGAACCTGCGGGAGACGCCAGGAAGAAAAGTAAAGGGCGGGTCGCGAAAGGGCCGACGCCCCGAAAGGGAAGGAGGGAGGGTCGTATTGGTTCGCCCGAGGCAGGTATCGCAGGCCTCCCTGAACGGCTGAGGGCTCGCGCTGTGCTGTCAAGTTTCTAAAAGGTCCCGATCTGTTGTCCCTCTTACCTGCCAGTTGTGCTTCCGTTGATCTTGCTCTGCGCCCCAGGCCTCCATGGATCAAATGATTTCTTCTGGTTCCCTACCAATAAATGACACCCGTATTAATAAATAGTATTGTATGTATACATGGGTGTAGCCAGGATTGGGAGCCGCCCAGAGTGGCTGGGAAAACCCAGCCAGAGGGGCGGGGTATAAATAATACATTATTATTATTATTTATTTATTTATTATTTTATTTACGTTAGGGGTAGGCAGGACACCCACCTGTCACCATCCTCCCTCTGGCTCTGTCTAGCAAATTTGGACCGAAACGACTCAACAATAGTTGTTTTAAATTACTTTTTTTACCTCAAATGTTCAGAAAAATCTCAAATCTACAATTTCTACTTTTAGTTAAGTATTTCTATTTATTTACTTGATTTGAGGACACAGCTCTTCCCCCCCCCCCAGCTACACCCATGTATGGATATCCTCAAGGGCTCAGCCTCAAGGGCTCAGCAGCGGTATTTTAGGTGTATAAATTCTACAATGATAAGATTTTTGCAAATTATTCTGTTGCATTTCTCCTTGTTTCCTACATTTTATTGATTTTCTTTCAGTATACTTCAGTGACATGTTCTGCTGTGTTTCTATTTGTTCTCATTTGTAATGTTCTCTGCTTTCTAGTTGATGTTTTGCTCAAGGCTGTTGGGGATACCCCTATAATGAAAACCAAGAAATGGACAGTAGAGAGAACGCGTACAATCCAAGCCCTTATTGACTTCATCAAAAAGTTTCTCAAACTAGTGGCCTCGGAACAGCTGGTATGTGACATCCACACTTCCCTATTTAGGAATTAGAGAGCAATCCGTAAGAGCTGAATCAGAGTAGGATGTTGCTGGGAAGCTTACAGGCAGGGCATGAAGGCACCAAATATTCCCTCTAGTTTGTCCCCACCTATCTCAAAAATATATACTTGATGAGTTCTGGGTCCCCAAATCTATCTGGAAGTTTACTACTATGCACATGGGTAAGCTTTTCCAAGGTTATTTCTCATAGTACAATAATTACTTTAGATATTTTGAATTACCTCTATCAGTTTCATTAAATCTAGGCTGAGCTGAGATCCTGAGTGGATGTAACTTGAAACTAAATGTAACGTGGGCATATTCAAATGAATGGTTGATGTTCCAGCTATATATTTATGCTGTTGTCAAAAATGACAAAAGACAGAGAAATATAGAAGCTATTAAACTTGAACTATGAAAAAATAGATGTTAGAGGAAATGGTTGTATGGGTGCAAAAGTAGCCACGTGTTATATACTGGCAGTGGTTTTAGTTCACAAATGCTAACCCAGTTCTGAAATGATTGTTGTGTTGAAACTGAATATTTTAATATTGAATCACTACTCACAATGTTTGATCAAGAGCCATGAACACCAAACATAGTTGGACTCTTATCCAATCCAGCTTTCCTGCAAAGCTTTAACAAATAGCCACTTAGCAACTATCCATAAAGGAGCTTCGGTTGTGGCCAAGCAGTTATCCTGATGGCAAGTTATCTTTTATTTTACTCCTGTTATCAAAGGACTTCAAGTAGCTATGAGCTGGAGGTGGGCTGGAGGAGGAGCAAACTCCTGTCAACTCTTAAGTCCTCAGGCCAGTAAATATGGGTACACTGGCTTCCTCCTTTGAACAATAAAACTAATGGACCTATTCCTCATAGTGGTGCAGCAATAAAACTGCTAACACATTTGCAAAGCTTAGCAGGGCCCAGTATAGTTTAAATTGGATAAGGGAAGTGTGTTGAGATTCCTGCCTTTGCAGGACTAGATGACTCTCAGAGTCCCTTCCCACTTAACAATTCTGTGATTCTTGGGTTCTTTGCCCTTGTTGAACCTTCAGCCTATAGCTGCCTGTAGACTGTTCTTCTCTTAGCCCTGTAATTGCAGTGACAGGGTGCTGAGGTAACACAGGAGAGAATATTGTCTGATAAAACTTTTCTGTTTAAACAGAGTAACTTCCTTTAAAACTTACCAAGTATCTCTTTCTCATACAGTTTATTTATGTGAATCAGTCTTTTGCTCCTTCACCAGACCAGGAAGTTGGAACACTATATGAGGTAATTCACAGCTTCTAAGTATTTCCTTTTCTCTTCTTTGCATTAGAAACTAAGGCAGGCATAGGCAAACTCGGCCCTCCAGATGTTTTGGGACTACAACTCCCATCATCCCTAGCTAACAGGACCAGTGGTCAGGGATGATGGGAATTGTAGTCTCAAAACATCTGGAGGGCCGAGTTTGCCTATGCCTGAACTAAGAGCACCATTCAATTGTTTGGATGAGGCAAAGGTTGCCCTGCCCAGAACAACTTCACCGGCACAGAGCTCTCTACCTCCACCCACTAAAAGGACAGTCCTACTAGTATCAGTCCATAAAAGGGTATTCCAGAGAGGGGGGGAATGTGGCTGAGCCAGCCTGGAATCCATTAGCCAGCTCTACTTGGGCCCAATGAAGGATGCAGTGCTTTACCAGCTTCAGGCTGGCATAGCCCAGGGCAGGCTTTTACCTGCCCTTCCAAATGCAGCAGTGGTTCAGTGAGCCTCACTGCCTGCTCTGAAGTCTGGATTGCTTTGTAAGATGTTTCAGTTGGATTACCATTTCACTCCATGTCTGCTGTAGCAAATGCAGCATGTAACTTTCAAAGTATGTTGTCAACAGGTGGCAGCATTTCATAAGAAACCTTCAGTAGAATGTTGACACTTTATGTATTAGGCTGTATAATAGCAACCCAACAGTTTATAGGTTTAATTAAATATTGAATTTGTTTAACTCCTCTGTTTCTTGTTCTGTTGCAGTGTTTTGGAAGTGATGGCAAGCTTGTACTGCATTATTGTAAATCTCAGGCCTGGGGATGAACTAGGAGCTACAAGTGCTTGGGATTCTTAGAAAATGAATGGGCTATAAAGATCTTCAGAAACATTCCCCAGGGACAAACTGAAGAAATGTCTGCATTGTTACCCATGGAGTTCACTTTATTCTCCCTATTTTCTCTACTTGTCAGTATAGGAGATAAATACAAGAGCTACATAGCCTCCCGGCTTCCATTTTCTTCATTTGATCACTTGCTTTGAGCAAATAATTGTGTGTGTGCCATCTGTACAGCTGAGCTGCCTGTCCTTGCTCCAGGACTTATTTTGAAAGGATGCTATCTCCTGACTTGGAGAGTACATGGATCATTATTTCATCAGGCTGTATGAAAGTTTACAGCCTCCCTTTTAGGATATTTATTGTAGATGGGCAGCTGAAGTATCTGTATATGCATAAAATAGTTACATTTTCTTATGACTATTTGTTTTAAACACAGTTGCTGGGATTTAACTTTGGAATCTGTAGTCCCAAAGAGACTTTAGGATGGTGTTTCTCCAGCAGCAGCCCTCCCAACTAATCTCCTTCCTTCCCCTTGTTCACTACACAACAAAGTATATACAATGAAATGCAGAAATATAAATGTAGGAATATTGGGCAGCTTTGAGAATAAAGGTTATCATTTAACAAATTATGAGTTTATTGTTATTGCTTGTTTGTAGAGCCCCTTTGACATTTATATTCATTGTAGACTTTCATCGTGTATCTCTTACAACAGGTTGCTTCAAGTTAAACTTACTAGACCCTGTAGGTGAATGAATAACTTTAAACACCCAAAGTGACCTTGTAGGAAAGTAGAGATCACACATTAGCTTCTCTTCTCTTATCTTAGCTTCAGGAAATAAAATAAACTGGAAATAGGCAGTACCAATAGTGACATACCATTTCTCCATTATCCAAAACCTATTAAATGTGAGTATCACAATAGTTAAGCTTTCACAGTTTGGCCTACATTATTTCTTCCTGGTGCTATTGTTGGTATTGTTAGATTAACATTTACAATGTTAATTTCCAAAAAACACACAAATGCAGCACTGATCATGCTGCAGTTGACTAAGCTCAGTATGTGAAGACTGCTTTATAGCCCAATATAAAGGGTTGTATGAATAAAATATAGAAATTAATGAATGTGACAAAGCAAAATGTCATTGTCAGTTGTGTGCGACAAGGAAGGACAATCTACACATCTGCACAGATCAAGCTATACAGCCAAGAACACAGTATTCCACAGTTAAATATTTTATCTATTAAAGGAAATTGAAATGGTTCAAGGAAGTGATATAAAGCAACTGATAAGCTTTCATTGAGTTTCCATTGTTATGAGACAAAGTAAAATGCTAGCAATACTTTAAAAATGCATTACAAAAGTGGATAATTGGACTTAATCATCCTAGAAAATGTAAAGCACATTGTTATTAAAGTGCAACTATTTAACACTGGGCAAGCTTCATTTTCCCAACTTGCCATTAACTTAATCTGGGTCTAAGGAATAGCTTCCCTTTTCCCAAAAAACCCCCACCCACTTAATGAAACATTTTATTGCTGACATCAGTGGAGCTCTTCTTGGAAGTGTGAATCTGCTGCTTTTGCTGAACAATGCAGGACTGAAATTAAAACTGCAGATGGTGGAGAAACTAATACCGTTTTCAAAGTAAAAAGTTTGGAAATATTTGCTTGAATCACAACTGAGATGTGAAGATGTGCTGGTCCATGTTGTAGGGTACAAGCAAAGTTCAGCAGCATTTCTCTCCTCACCTTCCCCTGCCCCATCCTTAATAAGTAGGCAGAGGAAAAGTTCTGATAGACCTTACAGCTTGCTTTCTACTTTGTGGGAGATCTACTTTAATAGGCCCCTACAATGGTATTCTAGTGTTAATGCTGAATAATCTAAGAATGAGAAATAGAAGTAGCCTTTCTGTCCTACGGAACAGGCAGAAATCTGCAGTGTTCTTTCCAAAGCTTTTGGAGTTAAATGTCACTGTAGATTGCTTTCTCTTAAGCCACCTGCCTGCTCAATCAAGTCCCTTATATACCTTGCTAAAAATTGAAAACTTCTCTTCCATATTCACTCATGGGGAATGAACTACAGTACTTTGATCCTAAACCTGCTGTCCTTGGGTGAGAAGCCACCTTTTACCATTCTGAATTTTCCTTACAAGACAAAGGTTTTTGCAGGGGTGGCTATCTAAATTGGTAATGTGTAATTGTCAGTGCCTACGTATTTCAATTTATAAACATAGCCTAGTTCCCCAAAACACACCTGGTTGGTTATTGCGCCATGAAAAGCGGAGACGACTGTAATTTAAAAGAGTGGCTTGCAAAGCTAATGCCTTCAGCCATTGAGCTGCTGAGTTAAAAGATTAGATTAGAATATCCAAACGTTGTCAGGGGGGGAAGTCACTCTTGGCTTCCTCAGTTGAATATTCCTTCTCCCTTTTAAGTACGAAGAACAGCGTCTTTGTGCTGTAACGGCGGCGCGCCAGTCGAGGCCCCTTAAGAAGCGAGGCGGGCAAACGACCCGAAAGTGGGGGGAGCCCAGACGCCCCATCTCGCCAAGGCGACGAGGGCTTTTGAAATATCAGCCTGTGATAGGTCACGGCGACGGCGGGGGTGGCCCTTTTCCAGCGTGTTCTAAAAGCCTAGGGCTAGCCGAAGCCGTTTCGCGGTGCCTCCCTCGCGCGCTCCCTGTCCTTGAGCACTTGGTACGTTCCCATCTAACTCCAGGGGATAAATAGCGGCAAGCCAAGGCACCGGCTCCGAAGCGACGCGGGAGAGACTGGGCGCTTCCATTGTGCAACTCGAAGCAGGCTCCGCAAAAGCGCATCATGGATCATCCCGGGCAGACGGAATTGTGGAAGGCGCAGACGCTGGACGAGCTGATCCAGATCCTGCATCGCTTGTTCTCCGGCGACAAAGTCAACGTGGCAGAAGTGCAAACCTTAATGGAAACTTACGAGAGCAACCCGGAGGAGTGGCTCAAATATGCTCAGTTTGACCAGTTCAGGTAAACTCGGTGGGAATCAAGGAGATTAGTTCGCCTGAACAAGCAAGCGGGTGACAAGCTGGCTGGTTTATTACTGTAGGATAAGCTATTCTCCTGGGAACGAAAAGCGGTCGATATGTGCTTTTAAAATGAGAGTCGCTTTGCTTGAAATGCCAAACGGACGTGATTTTCTTGGAGCATTTCATTAAGTTTGGTACAAATTAGTGCGGATCTTTTAGAAATTAAATAGCAATCTACTCTCCAGGCGCACTTCTACTTTGTTTGCACGTTTGATGTTCGTAGGTGTTGCAAATCCAAATATCTTGCTCAGATTCCTTTCCGTGTATTTTTAGCGTTTGCTACATAGGTAATTTGTTGCTAATAGCTAACATATGTGTTGTGCAGATAGTGGCTCCTTTTTTTTTTTTAGCAGCTTGCATTCAGGCCAGCGGTTTGAGTTGCTCAAATCTCCTTTTTGAGAAGTGGGAGGCTGCGCAGCTTGGAGGTGGTTGGCACTTTAAAGACAAGACCTTAGAAACAGCTGGAATGAAAATGCCTACAGAAAACTTTTTGGCAGGCCTCCCAGGCGGGCTAACTGGCAGCCCATCCCTTCAGCTGCAAGTACAGCGATGTGCACAAGTCTAGTTCAAAGCACCCCAGGAGTGGGTCAAGGTGACAGGATTAACACCAGGCTTTTGGGTCACAGCCTTTCTTGCTAGTTTGGGCTTCATTTTGTAGCTTGTGTGTTGGTGTGGTTTTTTTTGCACGACTAGCCTGTTAGATCTTAAACTTTGACTGGTTTATCTTTCAACGTTAGGGCTTTTCCAAAGTTGTTTTCCTCTTCTTTCTTGGGCATTCCAGTCCATTTGAAATGGCACTCCAGAACAAAGCAATATGCCTGGTGGTGAAAATCTGGAGGCAGCCTAATAAATGTAGAGTTAATGTGCCCTCTAGGTGGTGGTAGACCACAACTTCCATTATTACTGACCACTGAAAATGCTGATGGAGCTGTAGTCCCAACAACAACTTCTCAAGGGCATCATATTACCTACTCCTGGCCTAAAACATGTGCCAGAAGCGGGGGTGAGGTGAAGGCACTAATGAGATGTCTACTGAATACTGTTCCAAATCTTGTGTCACAAAAGTCCTGTGCCTCCCTTAATTACTGGATAATCATCACTAATCGTTTTTCTCAGAGGCCTGTTTCATAATCTGTAGTATTAAACAAGGCTAAATTCAGCCATTGGTAGCTGTTAAATAGTTGGTGATTCGCACCTTTCCATATGGACTGCATGAAGAAATGTATCTGCCCCAGCAAGCCCCTCTCTGGGAATTGTCAATGAGTCAGAGTAACCAAAAAAATATTGCAGCAGTGTGAACAGTAATTCCCTCTCCATCAGCATTAGTACAACTGTTCAAACATTACATTTTAGCCTTAATCCATAGCATGGATTAAGGCAGCTAGCCTTTTTTTGCAGTCTGAGGTTCACTGCCAAAAGTGAATTGTCACTTTTAAGCAGGGTTTTGCAAATGGTGCAAAGTCCACCTTATTTTTCTGGAGTTTTTCCCCTTGAAGAAAGAAATACAGGTTATAAATATTTTTTTAATAACAGGCCACTGAACCACAATTTGACCATACTAATTTGAGTGTGATGGAGGATGACCAAAAGTGCCTCCAGCCACTTGGTAGACTAGTTGTCTGTTACTTCCTGTCAAGTGGCAATGAACAATAGGATATATCATTTATATGGCATTTTAAAGTTTTAAAACAATCCACATCTATTATTAATACATAACTATATATAAGCAGAAGCAGCATGCATCACCAGCTGGTGGTTTTCATTAATGATGATGCATGCTGCTGCTACTATAGTGAGTACATAATTTTACTGCACAAGCTTAGCTATACCTGACCAGAAATCCAGGTATGAGCAATCACTGGCTATTTTCCTCTAAAACTTGCCCAAGACATTACATGCACATCAGATGTGCCCCTATAATCATAATTACATTGTTTATCCCTTAACCATTTTGAGTATAGGTACTCCTGCAGTATACATGTATATGGTCACTTCATGGTTTTCAGGCTCTCCCAGTCTGTAATGTGGTGAAAATCACCAAAGCAACTTCAGAACTTGCTTCACTCAAATGGCTGCATGCACAGCAGTTTGTTTGAATAAATCAGCATGACTGTTGATTAACCCTTAATGCTGAAACTAAAGCATCTTTTTTATGGAGCTATTCATAGTGATTAGTGGAAACATAAAAGTGGGTTCTTCGGTTCATCCAGATTATCATGTGTGTTGTATAGTGTGTGCGGCACAAACTGAACCTTATCCCGTGACCTGTTGTTTCCAGCTTCTGCCTCACTGAAGAGACCATAAACCATACAATGATCCACTGGATGGCACTGGGTCCTATTCTGATACTCTCCCTACAGAAAAGTGTGGGTGGGTAGGTGTTGATAATACATTTATAATTAGCTTAAATGCCAGTTTCTCTGCAATTGCATTTTTAGCAGAAGTTAAAACAGGTATTTCTTAATCCCATATCAAGCCTCCTCTCTTCTGGTTCCTGTTCTTTGGCGCACTTTCCCTCTAAATGATTAACTTATGTAGGTGACAATAAGTCATCTTCAGTGTTTCTTTGTAAGCAGCAGCAACAGAAAAGGCACATGAATAGCCAATTCATTAGGGAGGCTGATAATCAAATCAAGAGGCTGGCAGGGTCTCTAAGATGTAGATTCCACTTCTGCTTTTAGTTCAGAGTATCGTATTTGGGAAGGGGGTTAGGAGGGAGACTAAGTTCAATCCATCTTGTGCTGCAAAACATACTGGATGGTCTGTAGCAGTCTGAAATACTTGCCTATTGTGCTTTACACCTGCCCTGAAGGCTGAATATTAGCAAAGTGGCTAACAATAAAAAAGTAAAAACAATTCACAATGAATATTAAACACAGCAGATAAATTTCAGCTAAGCCTTTTTTGTGAGTGTGTGGCTGTCAACCAGATGGTTGGTGTTTCGAGCCCACCCAGGAATGGCTGTGGGCAGGAATCCTGCATTGCAGAAGGTTAGACCAGAGGGTTAGACTAGAGGACCTTTTGGGTTCCTTCCAATTCCGATTCTGTGATACAACCAGGCTGCCATAACCCAGATCTGCGAGGGTCCCCTGCCTGAAACCCCAGAAAGGTAGATAACATTAAGCTAGGTAGACCTATGATCTGCCTTGTTTCACTGGGGCGCGAGAGCCGCGCATCCACGGCGCCCGCAGCCCCGCCCCCTTTCCTTGCGCGTTCCCTGCCCCGCCCACTCCTTTTGACTGCTTTCTCCCGGCTTCTCCCAAGTGCCACGCATTGAAGGTTTAGAGGCAGAGGGAGGGCGGGGACCCGGTGGCCAATCAGAGCCGCTTTTGAGCAACACCCCTGAAGGGTTGGGCCAATGAGAGCTGGCTCGAGGTAAATAGCAGCCCGAGCCTCCCGGGGAGGCTGGAACTTGTAATATTTTTTTTGTACTTTTATAAGAATCGATGGAGGGGCGTTGGCAGTCCTGGAGGACAATGTCTAGTTCATAGGGCTGTGGCCCGCAAATGACTTAAGCAGCAGGCTATTACTGCGCGAATTGATCGGATGTGCCTTCTTGGTCGCTTTTTGCAAATAAACTGCTTTCGAAATGTTAACGAGGAGGAAAACGAATGGCTGACATCAAGCCAGGTTTTTTTGTTTTTCCTGATCTGTGTCAGGTTATTGTGTTCTCTAACAGATATTTGTGGGACAAGGAACTGGCAGCAAATCAGGGGCTTTCTGGCTTCCCAGCCTTCTGGCGTTCCACTGTTGGAAAGGTCCCCTTGGAACCCTCGTCTGCAAACTTGCCTCCACTGGTGTACCGATTCAAACTTGCGTGCACACACCTGACCTTTAAAAGTGAAAACAGGGTGTGTCTACTGCACCGTATTAAAAGTCAGGCTTTGATTTAATTATAAATCAGGTGCAATAGCTCAGTCTGCCGCCCGCCGCCCCCCCCCCGTCCCCCTTTGCTATATCCTTTAGTCTTTTTCATACCATTTCTAATCTTCGATTATTGTGCAACACTTGCTGTTGGCATTGCGAAACTAGTTTGTTCTGTTCTTGCTTGGCAGAATTCCCTGTCAAGTTGGCTTTTTATCAGGAGGAGAGTCTCTCACACACCCCCACACACTTTGGATTTGCATATATATCTTCTGCAGAAAAGTAGCTTAAATGGTTGGGACCATTTGATAACAAGCTGTAAAAGAAATCAGTAACTTCCTTGTTGTTACAAAGCTTCTGTAGTTACAATCTCATTGCAGAAATTACCTCACCCAAGAAGTATTTGGGTTATGTTGTGCTTTTCCATTTATAGGTTGTGTTGCTGAATTTCATTTACAGAGTAGCTTGGAGATTCCTCCCCCCCCATGTCTTCTTGGCTTTCCAATGTTCACTAAATGTTAACCATCATTCTACACCCTAATTTATATCTATCTAGTGTTTTTCAGCATTCTTGAACTATAGCAATAGGATAAATGAAGCCCAGATATTTGGGCTTCAACCGGATCTGAAATTAATGGGATTTACACCACCATCCAAATTTTTGTTTATTCGGTCTCACCGATTTCCAAGACCCACTGATCACACAACTGTGGGCCTGATTGACTTCTGTGCTTCCATGATGGCTGGGATTCAGAGCTACTTTAGCTATCCCATAAGGCCAGTGGGGTTTCTTTATTCATTTCCTTTGAATGGTGGACCACTATGCCATGTCACAAACCTTTGGAATCTTAAAAGTAAGGGAATGAGGACCTGCTCCTTGAGAAAGACATGTCCAGATTCCCTTAGGTACATGCAAAAATTGCATGGTTCCTTGCAATCCAGTCAACAGAGAGAAAAGGGGGCCGTAGCTCAGTAGTGGAAGCCGAGAACATGCGTTGCATAAGCAAGATTCTGGGTTCCATTCCTGACATCTGCACGCAGGGCTGGGAAGGATTCTTGCCTTAAACACTGGAAAGCGACTGCCAGTCACTATAGATAGTACTGACCTAGGTAAGGACCAATGGTTCGACTTGTTTGTGTATATATAATGTACTACTAACTTAAATGGTTTGTTGAGACAGACAGCTGCCAACATCTAACACAGATTTATAAAGTACCAAGTCTGTAATCACTGGAACTGAATTCCTGAAATTTGTTACTTAAGACTTACAACCTAGTTTTTAATAATTTGTATTTTACATAAAAGTTAATTCTTGTTGACTTTTCATTTGATTCTGTTCACTCTCCTTTTTATGAGAAAGATCCTGGCAAGGATACAACTCACTCAGCATTGTAAACCACTGTGATATATTTTTATGACCCTTATGTGATAAAGGTATAAATATATTGCAGTTTTAGGATGCTACTGACTGAAAGAAAATAGGTCAGAATATATGGACAAGTGCAAGAGTGTGTTTATGTGTATGTGTGGGTTTTTTTCCTTAAAAGATAAAACTTGGGAGAAATGCAAGCACTTCACCTATATTATCAGATATATTATCTCAATGAACCTTAGAACTACCCAGTAAGGTAGCAGAGTATTATCAAGATAATCTGTATGCAGTAGGGACAAATTGTTCAAAACAATGCAGTGAGTAGAACTGTCAAACAGCTCAATCAGAAAAGATTACTAGATGGTTGGGATAGGGGAGCCGGGTGGAAATTAGCAACCATTAATTTTTTTAATTTGTATATACTGTTCTTAACATCTGTTTCTGCTTCTCAGTGATGGCTCTTGAAATAAAACCCTGCATCTTATTCTTTCAGGTACACAAGAAATCTTGTGGATAAAGGAAATGGAAAGTTCAATTTGATGATCTTATGCTGGGGTGAAGGCCATGGCAGGTTTGTGGCTCTATATATTTTCCCATAATATAAAGCTGTATAGGCAGAGGGCCTTCTCGGTAGTAGCGCTCGCCCTGTGGAACACCCTCCCATCAGATGTCAAGGAAATAAACAACTATCTGACTTTCAGAAAACATCTGAAGGCAGCCCTGTTTAGGGAAGTTTTTAATGTTTGATGTTTTGTCATGTTTTTTAATATTCTGAGTCGCTGGGGAAGCCCAGCCAGATGGGTAGGGTATAAAATGATGATGATGATGATTGTTATATAATACATTGCATCTGTGCCACAAAAAATGTATTGTAGCCTTATATATACGGTATCTTATAAAATTCCATTAACTCTAACCTTTCCAAAAGCTTTGGGTGGTTCTCTACATGAATTTTTTTTAAAAAAATCCAACTATTTAAAACAAAACCAAAGCAGTACACCAGCTCTTAAGGATCCATTTTTGCATATTTGATTGTTTCAGTTAATCAGCATTTAATCTCTGGGTTCCTTACACTTTTTAAAAACACTTTAAAAGACCATTTGAAAAGGTGAATATGGCTTTGTGAGTAACCTAAGTTCTGTGTGTGATCCTGCTCAGGGAAGGGTGGGGCAAGGTGAATATGTCATTGACACAAGGGCTGGCCAATCAACACTGTGCAGATCCAGCCTCATCTGCAAGCCAGAGGTACTAGATTTCCCAAAGCCCCTTTAAAAAAAAGGCCGTATGTTATTGTTCTGAGAACCATTTCTCTCTATGTACTAGATATATATGCCCTTTTTCTCTTGCCTCTGCAAAACAGACAATTATCAGACATCTCTTAAGCATGAGGAATGTGATGCTTCTTTGTCAGAGCAAACTGTTGTAGAACCACTTGGTGACTTCCTTCTTTGTGCTTTCTTACAATGGTAGTAGGTTTTTCATTGCTCTATGTATGTTAGCCCCAGTGTTTTACTAAAGGGGCATTGTGCTGTCTCTGCCTCTAGACTAAAGCAGGGTTTGTCAAGTGAGAGAGTTCCCCCTCAGAACCCCAATTTTGTAAATCAGCAAGATCTGGTCAATGCACCCTTGACAATTCCCAGAACACAATGGGTGGCATTCAATTAAGTTTTATTCAGAGTAGACCTATCAAAGTTAATGGACCAAAGTTAGTCATGTTCATTCATTTCAATGGCTCTACACTGACTAAAATTGTATGCTACCCAATATGCCAAACTTTGGGGTTCAATGGCCTCTGCAGCTGTTGCATTGAATCCTGAAATGTCCTTTTCCGTTTGGGTAAAATGCTGTCTTGTGATGCGATGATTTAAGACTCTGAGGATTGTGGAAGTGAGGAGTTCCTTTTCACAAAAATGTAATTTGCACTAGGAAAGCTACAGGTGGCGTTTGCTTAACCCTTCTCCCATCCCACTGCTTTTCCTTCCAGTTGGGATTCCCAGATGTGTTTTTGCTGCATCAGGAAGGAAAAAACTGCTGGCAAGGGGATTCAGTAGATGGGGAAGGGTGACACTTTCCTGGCTGCTTTCTTTCTTCTGAAAATATGTGCAGGTGTATACACACACCCCTAAATAGCAAAGAAAGAGTAGCTCAGATTCCAAGATTTGTGTTAACCTCTAGCTACCCAGATTCATCAGAGAGAAGATGCTGGGGGCAGTAAAATATACCTGGGGAGGGGATGGAGCTTGTGTTTTTCTTCATACAATTACAGTTATGGACAGTGAGAAAGAGCTGAACTATAGGATTCCTTTGGTACCACAGAGAGCTGTCCAGCAAGTTAAGCTGGCAGAGAATATACTTTTGGATGCTAGGAAGTTCAGGAAATGATTTTGGGAATGAGTTTATTATCACTGTGTATTATTATTATTATTATTATTATTATTAATTAGCTCACTTTTAATCTAGTGTCCAATGAGCCTTCAAGGGGTAGGGTGTCTTTATTAACAATACTGTTACCTGCCTTTAACTCCTAGGTCGCTTTGAACCTTAAATTATTACCTGTGATCCCTGTGCTTGGTTTGATCCTGGAGCACACGCACACACATACATCCCCTAAGCCAATTTGGGAGGATGTGGGCGGAGAAGGGGGAACCCCATTACACAAGTAGAACTTTTTGTGCTGATGGGACTCATTAGGTGAATCCCACCAAGTATAAACAAGTTCCCTTAATAAATCTTGTTACTGTATGATCTGATCTGGGGCAAGTCTGCACAAAGATTACTGAAGTGAAAACCAATCATAGGCGCCGACTCCATGGGGCTTGAGGGGGCCCGAGCCCCCTCAAAAATTCGTTTGGGGGGGCTCCGCCCCCCCAATAATCTCCGGCGCCCCTCCAGCAGAGCGCCATCGCCGCCCCTCCCCCAGCCCAAAATGCACAGGGAGGGGCGGGCTGCATGCCTCCTGCCCTCCCTCCCGAGCAAAAGCTCCACCCAATTTCCTTTGGAGCTGATTAATAGGCGCAGCACGCTCTCCCCTATTCGCTCACGAGGAGGCGGTGCCACTTTATTTGCATATTCATGAGCTTATTTATTATTCATGAGCTTTCCCGGGCCCCCCCCCAATATTTTTTATAAGTCCGCGTCCCTGAAACCAATAATGAACAAGAGTTTCAGCCTCCCCTAATGAGGAGCGGAAGCACATCTGGCACATTGTTATGCAGATTTATCTAGGGTTGCCTCGCCCTGTCCCACTTGTAACCATTCAGATTAAATAGACAACTTACCCATGTATGGTAGCCTACTAGAGGCCGAATAAATAACCTGCTTTTGCTGCCTTTCTGTGACCACAGAAAAAACAACGGGCTTCTGCAGGCAACCGTATGTGACTGTTGGGCTGTACTGAGCTTGGTGGCAGGTCACAAACTCTACAAACCTGACATAGGATCATTACTTTTTTCAACACTGCAAGCTAATGGCTCAGTTTGAATGTAATGTTGGGCCACAGTTTACTGCTACAGGAATGAACCTACAGAAGAATTTTCAGGTTAACCTCATTTTATAATTGCATCTGACAAGGGCAAACTGTGGCCAGTTAAAACTGATATACTGAAACAAGCCTGAGTCAAACCATAGTTTATTATTCTATTTTAATGCAACAAACCACAGTTTCAACTGAGTTCAAAGGCTAGATGTAAGTCAAAATTGGTTACCTTAAACCAGGAAGTGAGTGCTCTTAATCTTCTGCTAGTGGCCACGCTGAAGGAGGAATGCTTGAGTTCAAGGTTCGTTTAGCTAGCATTGTGCCCAAACTGGGCTGTTGGTTATCTGGTTTTTCTCCAGAATTGCACTCCAAGTTTCTGCCAAGTGCATTGTGGTTTGCGAGACAGACGAGCAGCTGTTTAAAAATAAGAAACCACAGCTTGTTTTAATTTGTTGCACAAGCAGCACCAGTTAGTCAAGGAGTCAATTAAATCTGAATGGGGGAGTGACAACGTGGCGTCCCCCCTCCCCCCCCTGCTCCAGAATATAGCCAGTAACAGAGAAAGAACACTGCCACATATTTTCCAATGGAAAATATGAGTGACTGTTTTGAATCGAGTTCATGATGTAAAAGAAAATTATTATGTGTATCTGAAATGAGAAGTTTCATCTCTGGAGGTAGTGGTGCTTTTTTGTTAGAGGGTTAGGTCCAAAAGCCAAACATAAATATAGCATCGGTTTTTATCTTAAATGGAATTAAATTCAATGGACAACTATAAGAGAGCTTCCAGGCAAAAGGTTGTGTAAGTAACAGGCAGGCTGTGTCTGTACTCTTGCTACCCACAAGCAACATAGAGACTGCAAGTTCTAGTGGCGGTTGCTGTCGACGAGTAGCATAGTACTAGCCAGCAACATTCACCTCTCTTGCTCTTGAGTCATACAAATTAGTGCCTTTTCACTGAGGCACCATTTCCCCTTCACTTCTCATTCGTACACACTGTGTAAATGCTGGTCAAGTAGCCCCTTCATTGCAGCCCAAGTCCTTTCCCAGATAATGCCTTTGAGTTATGGTCCTATTGTTTAATTGAATTCCTATCTAGACATACCCAGCCATTGCCAAAGAACAGATTATTAGCAAATTTTGTCAGTGACATCACAGTGTGTTTCCTCAAAATCATCAACAGCTGCAGTCTCTCTTTTCATATTTGCAGAAATTCTAATATTTCCCTTTAAATCTGACTCTTTTTTCACTTTGACTTTTTCACTTTCATCCCACTTTCAAGACCACTATAAAATGATGTGGGCAATAACAATATTTCTCTTGTATTAGATGTACAACACAGTAAGCCCTATTGACTTCAATGGAGCTTACTCCCAAATAAATGGGGTTAGGGTTGCAGCCATAATCATTTTATGGTACATTATGTTTATACTACAGTCAACTTGCAACTTGCACACATTTAACTTACTCGATTGCAGCTTTATGTGCTTAGCGGCCAGCCAGCTGACACTGCACAAATTAAATGCATGTCAGAAAGGTTAAAAGCTCTTTTTTTGCGTGGGAAGCCTGCGGGGTTCAGAAAAGGTTGCTTGCATGGGGACAGTTCCAGGATTGTTTTGATCATATGCAATTTCGGCTTTACGTGCTATCCGCAGAACACAACCCTTATGCAAGTTGAGAGTCGGCTGTATATGTAAAAGTACAACAGCCCTGCTAAGTTCATAATGGTATTTTTTGTGTTTGTGTACATATACAGCAGTATCCATGATCACACAGATTCACACTGCTTTATGAAAATGCTTCAAGGAAATCTAAAAGAGACACTGTTTGAGTGGCCTGGCAAAAAGGGGACTGGAGAGCTGCTGAAGAAATCCGAAAGGGTTTTGAAGGAAAACCAGTGTGCCTATATTAATGGTAAGCCCTTTCGTTTTGGTTCATCATAGATACCCAAATAACCTTATAACTTCTTGGCTAGATGTTTCAAGTCTTGGAACGCATTTTTCGTTTCTTGGTTAAAAGAACAGGACACATGGGGACATTTCATGTTATAGAATAAGTCTAATCTTTCCTCTGGTGATAGCCCACTCGTTTCCTCCTTATGATCTGAACTACTATGTGCAGAATTTATAGTTTACAAATTAGGCATAAGATTCCTGTGCATAGTGTTGCTGACCTTGACCGGTACCCACTGTAACAGAGGCCATGGAATGGATTTTAAATGCTGCTACAAGTACCACGGTTGCATGCAGCACTTCCAAAAATGTTATTTATCCTCATATGTTTTTAGGACCTTCCATTATATCCCACCAACCTTTGTGGTGGTTCTGAAAACTAAGATGATAGGTAGAGCTCCCCTCACCCCCCCCAAAAAAAAATCAAATTTAAGCAATGTAGCAAGTGTCTTGATCATAAAAAAACAAAGAGACCCCCCCCAAGGTAGTGTCTGTAGGCAAAACAAGGGCTGTGGTAAGGAAGAAATACTAAAGCTTCATGGACAATTTTTGGAATAGGATCTTTACCTGGGGCTGACTACAACATTGTTTTCAGTCTACTCCCCAGCCACATCCTTCCAGCCATTTTCTGGCATGGCTGTCAAGAGCACTGGCACGGACCTGTACAGTACCTGTTTTAGAACCAATGGATAGCATCCATCGCATTAGTTGCTTATTCTGCACTCACCATGGATTAAAATGGGGACTTTAACGCCTCACAACTTAAATCATACACAATGGATTTTCACCCAAGTCATGGAGAGGCAGACTCTTGTAATATTTAGGAATTTTTGACATAAACTTAAGAGACAAGAGAAGGAAGTGAAATATGTTTGGGTCACAAAAGGAGCATCAGAACTGAGTGAGGGCTGCACTTCAAGGCAAAATATTCAAAGTATTGTATCTCAGTTCTGTTCAGAATTTTGTGAAACTTGGCCAATTTATCATGCTTACCACCCAGATTCTCCATGCTTTGATTTCAGGTGGGATTCATTATTTTGACTTTGAGGATTAGAATGTCTGAGCTTGCATGGAGTGGACTGGTTATTTTTTGCATTGGGGATTCCATAACTGTTAGCTGCCTTGGGCTTTTTAAAATAAAAATATGGAGTATGAATAACTAATAATAATAAATAATGGTAGAACGTGATTTGATCCTTCCATCTTAATTACAGAAGCCATCTTTGCCAAGATAATGTCAAGATGGCACATGCCACATTGGCCTTAGTTGATCTTGGTTATTTTCAGTTGTGGTTTATTCTTGTATGCCAGATGAGAAAAATGTCCTCTCTGCATTTCCCTGGGGAAACAACTCCAGTTCAATACTTGGCGCGCACACACCTCTTACAAGGAACTAAAATCTCAGCTATGTTTTTTTCCTCTCTGTTGTTTTCGTGTCCAAACACTTTGATTTGGAATGAAATCAAAAACAAATGATGTATGCACACAAGCAACTTTGAACATTGCCGAAAGGCATTGTCTCTTCTTTCTGAACATCTTCAAACTAAAATAGTTGCTACAGAGAAAGATATGCCAAGCAAAAAGGGGGGTGGAATCACATGTATGGGAGTGTGTTGCTTATGAGACTTTACAACAAATGGATGTCCACAACTTACAGCTCAAAGATGGGTAGCTGACAATTTGGCTTCCTTTATACAATATTAATTCAACTATAAGCTTTGCATTAAGCCAGCTCATGTGTTCAGATTTTATAAAGCAACAATAATATGTTTACTGATGCTAAGGTAGCACCTGAAGATTGTCAAGTTTTGTGGATTTTTTTGGATATCAAAATATGGTACCATATTTGAAAGACCTGTTTATGACATCACAATGGTAAATAACTTGATATTTTTACATAAGGCATTAAAATGGCTAGCTATACTTAGGGACGCGGGTGGCGCTGTGGGTAAAAGCCTCAGCGCCTAGGGATTGCCGATCGAAAAGTCGGCAGTTTGAATCCCCGCGGCGGGGTGCGCTCCCGTTGTTCGGTCCCAGCGCCTGCCAACCTAGCAGTTCGAAAGCACTCCCGGGTGCAAGTAGATAAATAGGGACCGCTTACTAGCGGGAAGGTAAACGGTGTTTCCGTGTGCGGCTCTGGCTCGCCAGAGCAGCGATGTCACGCTGGCCACGTGACCCAGAAGTGTCTGCGGACAGCGCTGGCCCTCGGCCTCTTGAGTGAGATGGGCGCACAACCCTAGAGTCTGTCAAGACTGGCCCGTACGGGCAGGGGTACCTTTACCTTATACTTAGAAAAGGCAGAACCAATTACTGGAAGAATAAAGGCTTCACCCCAAAAGAATTATTTCCTTCATCATAGGGCTAATGTCTTTACTATCTGCTTAAAATACAGTTTGGGGAATCTTTTGAGTAAGAGGGCCCTTTGCTCCTCTGCACAACGCTCCAGGTGAAGCATTCCAGTGAGAGGCAGGACTAGAGGCAAAAGTGAGCAGACCAATGGATGTGACCCATTGCACAATGAGCTACATTCCAGCACCATGCAAAAGTCAGTGTTGTTACACACATCTCTCTACCTCTATCCCCACGAGCAAGAGTTGGAGGACACATTTCAGCTTGGCGAAAGAACTCAAATGTAGAGTATGGCTGGTGAAGGTGAGGCCTAGAGAAGCCTGATGGCTAGTTAGAGAAGCCTGGTGGGGCCTTGAGAATTTCCAAACTTGATTTAAAATATAGCGTCTTTTCCAACCCAAGTTCTTGGAAAAATAATGGTCTTCTATATTTCATTTATTTTCCCTAGAATTTTTATAACATCTTTAAAAGAGAATACTGCATTTGTACTGGTGGCAGATGATTAAATTCACAACACTTGAGATCTCACTAACATTCATGGAGACATCCTGTTGGCCTTTATCAGACTATAACTATGCATAATTCACCTAGATTTTTAATAGAAGCTAGGCATTTTACTTTATTTTATTTTAAAAGATCCTAAAATTGAGGGTAAAATTGTTGGATAAATTATCTAACCCAGTGCTCTTGTGTTTTCTTCTGTTAGACTGCATCGGCTTACACCGTGTGGAGAACCCAAGCCATACGGAAACCGCTGTTAGTCTCCATTTGTACAGCCCACCCTTTGAATCTTGCTACACTTTTGACCAAAGAACTGGACACAAGCAAAAAGTTAAAATGACATTTTATAGTCAGTTTGGAGAAAGGACCCCATATGTAAGTATAAGGATTTGCACCTTGCCTGTACCATTTAGCTGATCACTGCAACCTTTCTATGGAAAGAAGGCAGCTCTTGGCTGAGGCACATGATGCTAATAAATGAACCCCTTGTTGGAGGCCCAATACGTTGTTGTTGTTGTTGTTGTTGTTGTTGTTGTTGTTTATTAAATTTATATACCACCCTTCATCCAAAGATTACAGGGTGTTTCACAACATAAAATACAACATTCATTGGATTTTGGATGAGTTGCAAATCTGCTGGAGCAGGGACCAGAGCAGAGGGCCATGAACTGCCATGTTTTGGAAGGAAAGGGGATGCTGCAAAGAAGCCAACTTGGGAATCAATAAACCAGTGGCATAGCTAGGGGGTGCGCTGGGTGTGAACCGCCCTGGGCAGCATTTACCTTTGAGGGCGGTACACTGGAGCCTAAGCTGGTGCACAAGCCCAGCATGCTGCTCTCAAAAGCAGCGCGGGGCTGGACTTGCAGCACGCCCAAGCTGTTGTATTCCCTTTCCCTGCCCCCACAGCATGCCCCGCCCCTATGGCACGGCATGCGCGTCCCAGATGCCGTCAGGCCTCATTACGCCACTGCAAAGGAAGACTTGCAGGGCTAGGAGCTCCAGGATGGAGCATTTGTGTATTTGGCTAAAAATGTTCTGCAATTTCCCATTAAAAATACACAGCAAACTAAGATTTGATTTAAATGTTCAGCTACAGCTCTTCCCACAATGTCAGACTGCCAGAAGAGTGATATTTTTAAAACTATTAAAATTTCAAGGGGAAAAAACAGCAACCCCAAAAGCTCTCTGAACATAGAAAACTAGCCTTTTGTTAAATGTTTATGCCAGAATTCTTATCCCAGACACTGTAGCTCTCCTTGGGCAGGGCTTTGCCCTATGGGAATATTAAAAAATGAGGTAATTTTATCTTTAGTTTTGAAAGGGCTGTTCCATGTAACGTTTATGAACATGTGTAGTGGAAGGAATTGAGAGCATGTGGATATTTTTCAAGCAACTTTTAATGAAGGCTTTCCTATAGTGTCTTTTACAGCAGCCACTTCATGAGGCTGCCCCCTAAACTATTCCTCGGAGGCCTGTATTAGGACTTTTATATCTGCCAAGTGTTTTAGCCTCTAGTCCTTTTCCTCTGTTTTGCTGAGATCCTTCACTGCTCTGCTTGCTGCAAATGACTGTTACACCATAGTGCTGATTTCAACCTTCAGTAACATCCCCAAAAGTCTTTGGGCATAAGAAATATAAGTCAATTCCAAACACACCCAGGTATGAAAAGGGCTTGGTGTTGGAGCACAGGACCAAACAGCAAAAAACTATCAAGTGGGAGCCATGGCAGAATTTAGTTACCCTCTATTCGCTCACATGTTTTTAGATTTTGTACCTCAGAGACTTCTTTACTTGAAATAACTGAAAAATCTAGATAACAAAGATTCTCTCTCTTCTCTCTAGGCAACATCAGTTTCACAGGAGAACAACTGAAAAGCACAAGGCTGGCTGGATGGTTTATTATTTGAACTGGAGCAGAAGGATTGTATGATTGATGCCAGTGCCAAGCTGTGTCTGAATAATCTCTATGTAGGACGGCTATTTGGCCAAGTAGTTATCATTCATGATTCCTCTCCTCTTGAACACTAAAGGGAGTAGTGCCATGTATTGCTGCAGAGTTCAAATGACTCTCGCAACCTACCATAAAACCAGGGTCCTTTCCCCACCATTTCTACTTTTGAGACTGTGTACACAAACATCAGCAATTTGGGCTTCTAAGTATGACTTGACTTTCTTAACAGCCCTACCTGTTTGAATGTATGCCATTTTTACTAGTAATGTAACTTTTTGGTGTCATCTGTACTGTGTACTGTATACTGTTAGCAGCTTCATTTTAACCAGGGTTCAATGATCTGTTGGAACTTTTAAAATTTGTTTGTGCATCTTAAAATCTTATGTGTAAGATCTGATTCCTTTTTTTAACGAAAGAATAAAATAGGAGCAATAATGTCTTGTACCAACACTTATGTCCTGGAGAAAATGTCTGTTAATATCTGTTAAACGTTAATGAAGTTGAATGGGATTAATTTTTAGTTTTTAAAGTGATTTGTATCATAACTTGCCCCAAAACCTGAATAAAACTGAATACGGGCACACTTTCTCATTTTTGTCCTGTAGCATAATTTAGCATAATCGATGGCTGCTCATCTGTCTGTTAAACAAACCCTTTCATGGTTTCCAGATGCTGTGTTAAGGCCCCATCATGCAAAAGGTGAATATACAGCAACTCGCTGGTGTGCCAGAGCTCCAGTATTTGAGTTGGATTAGTGAAGCAATATGCTATGTTGGAGATGGAGTCTGGAGGTGTAGTCCTACTGCCTGACAATGTGTTGGATTGCTGCTGCAGAGGGGGCTTTCCTCTCTTGCTCTGCATCTGATTAGTTTTATTTTTATTACACCATGCTTCTTACTTACAGGTGAAAATTAGCCCCAAAAGCGCTCTCACTCCAAACCCTTTTTGTTTGCCTGTTTGAAAGGATTAAGGACTGTGTGAAGTAACAAAGAGTTCTCTATGTAAGCATGTAAAAATGTTAAGTCAGAGCCAAGCCATAGCCTGCTTTCTGCAGGTCCTAGATCTGGTATTCCTATGGAGGAAAGGTGTTGTTGAATTTTTGGGAGCGATGACACATTCCTGCCTTTTTTTCTCTCCTAGAACATGCTATTTTCAAATACAAATAAATGCTTAAGAGCATCCGCTGGATAGGTATCTTTTCTTACTTATAATACATGCTTCCAGTTCTGTGTTTGAAAAAAGAGCATTTGTCTGCATCAGATGCAGTCTAAGCTCCACGATTTACATTACAAATCAGACTGAATAGGCTGTTTGTGAAAAACAGAAATTTGATCAGCTTTGGGAAACTTGTGGAAAGGTACCTGCTACAGTAGGAACATAGATCACATACCCTGCAGACAATAGTACTCTGCCATTTGTGATCAGCTATTCCTGAACAACAAACTGCCACTTTTTTAGGAATGTGCTGAAGGGATATAAGTGTTATGTCAGACTTCTCGACTGATTAGTCCAGCTGTCAAACATGGTGTGTTAAGAATCAGCCATTCATTCCAGCTATGCTGCATTTGTTGTTGTTTAGTCTTTTAGTCGTGTCTGACTCTTCGTGACCCCGTGGACCAGAGCACGCCAGGCACTCCTGTCTTCCACTGCCTCCTGCAGTTTGGTCAAACTCATGCTGGTAGCTTTGAGAACACTGTTCAACCGTCTCGTCCTCTGTCGTCCCCTTCTCCTTGTGCCCTCAATCTTTCCCAACATCAGGGTCTTTTCCAAGGGGGTCTTCTCTTCTTATGAGGTGGCCAAAGTATTGGAGCCTCAGCTTCAGGATCTGTCCTTCCAGTGAACATTCAGGGCTGATTTCCTTAAGAATGGATAGGTTTGATCATCTTGCAGTCCATGGGACTCTCAAGATTCTCCTCCTATGCTGCATTACTTTTTGTTTTAATGGCGTGACATGCTTGGGACTAGAATAAGCACGGCATACCCTTTTGATCAGGTGTAGGACCCATTTTTCTTGGCCATAGACTATGCTTGCTAGGGCTGATAGGAATTGTTCAGCAACATCTGCAGGGTCAAAGCTTTTCCCAGCTTTCCTTGTTTTTGAATAACCAATACTGCCATCACAGCTATTCATTTTTGCAGCTGGAAAAAAAATGGTCTACTAACGCTAACTTTCCACTGGAGACAGCTGGTGGAGATGAGACAGAGGCTACACTGTTGACTGCTTCTTGTTTGCTTTTCTTTTATCTGCTTCCATTTTCTCAAAAGTGCAGGTGGGTGGAGAATGAATTTATGCCATTAGTCAGCAAGCACAGAATGGGTAAGGAGGTACTCTTCACAGTAAACATTTGTTCTTCACCTCTACTTGTGCCTTTCGTCCTTGGCATTGGCTTGGGGAGTTGAAATCTGGAGCCTGGCAATGTGTTTTTCTCCTCTTTAAGCTAGAAGTACACCCTGTTCATTTGCTAATTCTTTTCGCTTATTTTTGTAGCCTCTCCCAAGCCTGGGAGAAAGTTGTTTGCTCTGCTGGGGTGCAGCCTTTTCAAGGTTAAAACATGCAACCTGCTTGTGATTACTCTCTGGAATTACATGTTGAAATGATTTTTTATTACATTGTTTGGCACTTTCCTGTCTTGAGCAATCTAAGTTAGAACATTCTGAGTTTGAATGAAATTGAAAGCTGGCAGCAAGGACCCATTACGCCACCAACCCATAACCCATAAAGGGGCGGTGGTGGCTAAAATGCAGTCCTCCAGGCATTGTTGGACTACAACACCCATCAGCCCCAGCTATTATAGCCAATTAGGGATGGTGGAAGTTTAGTCCAACAACAACTGGCAGGCCAGATGGGTTCCACCCCTGCCTTAAAGTATAAATCATTCTAAGTCAGATTAATGCCAGCTGCTATGGAAATGGAAAATGAAATACTTTACAGAATACTTTATATTTACAGAACAGTCATGCCAACAGGAGCTTGATTATGTGACTAATATGCCACTAAAACAACCCGCTAAGTGACTTTATGATATGATTTGCAAACAAAGATATTAACTGCTACGGTGACCTTTGTAAATGTTTGCAGCAATGGGCCTTCAGCAGTTGTTGCAAGTCACAAGAGGACCATGCACACCAGGGATGGAGAACTTTTCTCAGCCCCCCAAGGGCTACAATCCCCTTCTTAGCAACCTATCGGTAGCCACATACCAAAGGGAAAAGTGGACATTAATTTTGCCCTTTGCACAGTAGGCTGGCTTCTACACATACTGATGCACCACTTTCATCCAGGCAAGCAAGAGGAATCATTGAAGTTCAGGGGCAGATTCCAGCCAGGCAAGGGCACTCAAAGAGCATGGAATTTGCTTCAATAAGATGTAGCAATGGCCACCAACTTGGATGGCTTTAAAAGAGGATTGGACAAATTCATAGAGGCTATCAGTAGCTACTAGGCACAATGACTGTGCCCTGCCTCCAGTATGTTTCTGAATACTACTGCTGGAAACAGTAGGAGGGAAGAATGCTATTGTGCTCAAATCCTGCTTGTGGGCTTCTCATAAGCATCTGCTTGGCCACTGCGAGGACAGGATGCTGGTCTAGATGCATCACTGGCTTCATCCAGCAGGCTCTTACATTTTAAAGTGCCATCTAGAGAGGTATGGAGGGCCACACCAATATATTCAACAGGACTTATTGCTGAGAGTATTGATGCTTAGGACTGTGCTGTTAATTTTTAGCAAGATCCTGCAATTGAGAGAGAGGCAAGAGGAGATTTGGAATTCTAGATTGCGTAAAGGATTATATGGGTTCCTTAAAGTTACATTGGTGAGTATAGGCCTAGCGGTTCACTGATAAAGGGTTATCAAATCAAAAGTGTTCTGAAAAGATTAAGTTTTTCCTAAAGTGATAAGGAGGACTGTGGGATAATCCTGTCAGTGTGTACATAGTACTCTCTGCAGTCAGTTTTTACAAAAATGATACACATCTTGTTGAACTGGAAGGGTGATCAGTGACTCACAAGAGAATGTAGTTAAACTACTTTTCCAATGCACACATAAATGGTCTGGTGGAAGCAGCTAGTTTTTATCAAGCTGACCGATATGGACATCACTGGATTTTATCCATTAACATTCCCTCAATTTTTTGTTGTAAACTTACTTTAACATGGGTAGTAAGACTACATAAATATGTATACTCTCCCCTGAACTTTGGAAATATAGGAAATAATATATTTCCTTTCAATATTTATATTTTCTTAAACAGTTCCACCCAACTTACTTTTTTGTATCCATTTTAATTAAAGATTCCACAAATGATGCTTTAACCACAAGGGCATTCTTGTTTCAGAAATTTGTCAGAAAACAATGAAAATATAATTGCATCATTCAGAATGTGATCAAATGAGATTTTTACATTTTTCAGCTCACTATGTGGATTTTAAAATTTTGGTCAAGTACCTTGAAAGTAAGCGGATATGTAGTACGACACTTTTGAGAGTGGGTAGGTGAAAGATACAAAGAAGCAAAAATATTTCCCTGTTTATTCTGATCAATAAAAAGCACTTGTAACTATCTACTTCTGTATAGGAACAGGGCCGGAATGTCTAACTGGCTTTCTCTGTTTTCAGGGTCTATGTAAAGTATTTCATTACAAGTATTTACAAAAGAGGTTCATAACTTGACTAAGAGCAAAGCAAAGTCCTTGGCTGAAGAAGCCTTTGTTTGAGTGCAGTATTAAATTGCAAACATGTGTTTTGTGTCAGGATCTTGGGTTTGCTCATTGGCTAAGGGAAAAAACCAGATTTCACTTGTTGGCATGTGCTCCTGTATCACATATAACTTTGACTGAACAAATGTCTGAACAAAACCTGAAAACCAAACAGTAACAGCACAGCAAGATTTGACTTGCTTTAGTGGCAAAGGAAATTCTTTGCCTAGCCTGAGAACATTGTATTGTAAATCCTAGTACATTTTTGCATATGTCTCCCTTACTGAAGTAGAAATATCAATGGGAGGGTTCTAGAAATTGTTTTTGGTGACTCTAATCCTTGCCACTATCTGAATTACTTTGGGGTGACTTCTACTTACAGAATTGTAGAACTGGGAGGGATATAAGGGTCATCTAGTCCAACCCCCTGCAGAGCAGGAATCATTTATTCACTTGTCTTCGTGACTGATAACTAACAATTTTTAATTCTTTTATTCAGCATGAAATAAGATTTTAGGGATCCAAGAGAGTCAGATATAAATATAAAACTTATATCAATGCACATCTTTCCTATTCAACACAGGCAGCTAATTGTGCTGTCTCTCTATATTGATTCAAAATTTAAATGTATTGAAGTCACACACACACACACACACACACATATATATATATATAATAGCTAAGCAAGAAGTACTGAATACTCACACCAAGGAAAAAAAGGTGAATTGGCAATAGTAAGATTTATTCAGGAAAACAGAACATACATTACAATGTGATCAAGCACTGCAGCCTAAGCTCACTATTGTGGGATATGGTAGGTTCCTTGGGGCAGGGAACTGCAGTGCTGCTTGCTTGACCTTATGGTCAGCAGGTAGGGTGGAGAGGGTCAT